TTTTACTCAATAATTATAAAAATGCTTCAATTAGCAATCACAAAACATGCTTGAAACAAATGAAAAGAAAAAAAGAAATTTAAACCAAGGAAAAGAAAATCGCAGAAAATAAATAGAAGATAGAAAGAAGAACCAAAGAAAAATTTTATATCTTTAACCAAATTTAAATTTTCAACAGAAGAATAAATAAAACAGAAGAAATAATAAACTGGAAGACAGAACAGTAGAAATTACATAATCTGAAAAGAGAGAAAATAGACTGGAAATAAGAAAGAACATAAATTCAAGGAACTGTGGAGTCTAGCAAAATATATAGTATTTGTGTGATTGAAGTCTCAGAAGTAGATGAAAAAAGGGGGGGGATAAAACTGAAAAATATCCAGAGAAATAATGGCTGAATACACCATAAATTTGGCAAAAGATACGTATCTATAGATTCAAGAATCTAAGTAATACACTATGACTTAGCAAAATCATATGTGAGATTCATCCCAGGAATGCAAGGATGGTTCAGCATAAGAAAATCAATGAATGAAATATAACCAACAGATATAGAAAAAGCATTTGAAAATATTCAGTACCCTTTTATGATAAAAATTACCCAAAAAAGTAATGGAAAGAAACTTCCTCAATCTGATAAAGGACTTTATAAAAAAAAAACCTGTAATATCATACTTAATGGTGAAAGACAAAGCTTTCTCCTGAAGATTATGAATAACCATTTTACCACTCCTATTTAACCTTTTACTAGAAGTTCTTTTTAGCCAGAACAATTAAACAAGAAAAATATATCAAGGACATCCAAATTGGAAAGAAGTAAGATCATCTATATTTCCTCTATATTATAAAAGAAAGTAAAAAACCAATTTCGTTACAATGGCATCCAAAAGAACAAAATGCCTAGGAATAAATTTCACCATGGCAGTGAAATATTTGTACACCAAAAACTACAAAACATTGCTGAAAGAAATTAAACAACACCTAAACAAATAGAAGGATATCTCATGTTCATGGACTGTAAGATTTAATATTGCTCAACACAACCCTTATCAAAATTTCAACTGCTTTCTTGAAGAAATGAAAAACCATATCCTTAATTTTACATGAAATTATAAGAGGCCCTGAATAGCCAAACAATACTGAACTAGAAAAACAGAGTTATAGTACTCACACTTCTCAATTTTAAAATTTATTACAAGACCATAGTAATCAAAACAGTGTGATACTGACATAAAGATAGACATACAGACTGAAGAATTAGAATTGATCGTCCAGAAATAAACCTATATATCTAAGGGTGATTTATTTTTGACAAGAGTGTGAAAACCATTCAAGGGAGAAAAAATAGTCTCTCCAACAAATAAGGCTGGAACAACTTGATTTCTGTGGGCCAAAGAATGGCATTTGATCCTGATCTCATGCCATACACAAAAATCAACTCAAAATAGAGAAAATAAACTAAATATAATAGCTAAAACATAAAACTCTTAGAGAAAATATAGGAGAAAATCTTCATGACCTTGAGTTTGGCACTTATATCTAGCACTAAAAACAGGGGCAACAAAAGAAAAAAATAGATAAATTGGTCTACAACAAAATTTTAAATGCTGTATGTATCTAAGGGCATTGTGAAGGAAGTTTTAAAAAGTGAAAGTTTTTACAGAATGGTATAAAATACTGGTAAATCATATACCTGATAAGGGTTTAATATCCATAATATGCAAGGAACTCTTGCAGCAACAAAGACAAGCAACCCAATTAAAAAACAGGAAAAGGACATGAATAGACATCTCTCCAAAGAAGACACACAATAGGCCAATAAACAAATAAAAAGGTGCTTGACATTATTAGTCCTTAGGGAAATTCAAATCAAAACCACAATGATATACTACTGTCTGCATACCAGGATGGCTATAAATTTTTTAAGGTGAAAAGTAATAGGTATGGTGGGAGTTGGGAAAATTGGAACCCTCAAATATTACCTATGGGAATGTAATATACTGTGTCCCCTATGGAAAAAAAGTTTTATGGATCCTATAAAAATTAAACATAGAATTACCATATGACCTAGCAATTTCACTTCTAAGTTCATACAGGTGTCCCAAAGTCACCCCTAAAGTTGCCAACCATAGGGAAAATGAGAAATTGTTGCTAAA